AATTTATAAATGAAGTGGGACATCCTTATATCGTCATTTTCCCATATAAGAACACTTTTCAAAAAATTTTATGTTCCTCAGTAAAAGTTTTGTAATTTTCTTCAGATGGGTACTACACAAGCCCTGTAGTTTATTAGTTTAGCCCTGTAGTTTATTAGTTATATATCTATAACTATATGTAAATTATGTATCTATAACTATTGATTGATATATAGAAATATAAAGATATGTTTCATAAATAATATTGCATAATTGCCATTATTTGTAAAGTTAATTTGTCTCATGGAAGACTATTTTCTAATTGTTTTTTCTTTAAATGAAAGAAATGGTTGATTTTAAATTTTCTTGACTTTAAAAATAATCCTAAAGTAATGGGTCAGTTCAAGTTCAGGCTAAAATTATTGGTTTAGGTAGAAATATTCTAATTTTACTTAATATAATTGTTTTCATTTATATGATTTTTTGAGTCATAGAAACATGGCTTGAGAAAATACCAATTATGAAGAATTCCTTGAAATATAAACGACTGCAGAATATAATACCTGTCATTTTCTGAAAAGAAATGCAAAGAAGTAATGAACAAAAATGATTATTAGAGTATAGATAGGATTTCTATGAATAATTTATGAGAACCTAGACAAGGAAGAAACTATAGGTATGACCTATTTTGAGTCCTGTAGACTTTTTGCCCTATTTGTAGTAGAAGATACTGCTATTTTTCATATATTTTCTTTTCAAAAGTACAGTATTTTATTCGTTATTACTAACTATAAATATTTAATATTCTCGTAAAAAGCATTCAAATATCATAGAAAAAATACTTTCTTTTTTTGAAGATCAACCATAACCCTATCATCCAGAAAAAAACTACTGTCAATATTTTCCCTAGGGACTTCCCCGGTGGCGCAGTGGTTAAGAATCCACCTGCCAACGCAGGGGACGTGGGTTCGAGCCCTGGTCCGGGAAGATCCCACATGCCTCGGAGCAACTGGGCCTGTGTGCCACAACTACTGAAGCTGTGCTCTAAAGCCTGTGCTCCACAACAAGAGAGGCCACCGCAATAAGAAGCCCGCGCACCCCAACGAAGAGTAGCCCCCACTCGCCGCAACTACAGAAAGCCTGCACGCAGCAACAAAGACCCAATGTAGCCAAAAATTAATTAATTAATTAAAAAAATACATATTTTGCCTACTCTTCAAGACTTAATTCTATTCATATATATTTCATATATTTATAAATGAGACCACACTATACCTACTGTATTATAGCCTCTTTTTTTCTTTTAATGTATAATCACTGCTGCCTTTTAATGTCCATAAATGCAGATCTTCATAATTCTTAGTGGTTACCATTGAAATGTATATTTTATTTCATGACGTTCCATAATTTATTTGATCAATCCTCTATTGAGCAACGTTTAGTTTTCAGTATTTTACAATGAACATTCTAAAACATCTTTTTACATTTGACACATTATTTCCTTAAGAAACAGAAATGCTAGATCAACGAGTATGCATAATTTTAAGACTTTTGATTTCATACTGCCTCTGTTTCCTCCAGAAAGTCATAGTGATTTTATCTCTAGCCTTCCCAATACTGAGTGTTAATATTATTTAAAATATCTTTTATAATCTGATAGCTGGGGAATGGTATTTCATTGTTCTTTTAATTTCCAGAATTTGATTAGCAATGAGGTTTATCATTTTCTCATATATTTATGGTCTATTTTATCATGTTTTCATATGTTTTATGGTCTATTATTATTTCTATATTTGTGAATTAACTATCCTATCTGATTCCTCTTTTTCTTCTGGAGTATATATATCTCACTGGTTTTTTTTGTTTTTTGTTTGTTTGTTTGTTTGCGGTACGCAGGCCTCTCACTGTTGTGGCCTCTCCCGTTACGGAGCACAGGCTACGGACTCTCAGGCTCAGCCGCCATGGCTCACGGGCCCAGTCGCTCCACCGCATGTGGGATCTTCCCGGACCGGGGCACGAACCCCTTGTCCCCTGCATGGGCAGGCGGACTCTCAGCCACTGCGCCACCAGGGAAGCCCATATCTCACTGTTTTGACTTGTAAGTAGTTCCTTAAAGATTGAAAATATTAATCTTTTGTTTGTGATATGTATTTCTTTCAGTATGTCTTTAGTCTTTTTATCTTGTTTGTGTCATTTTTGCCGAAGTTTTTTTAAGTAATCAAATTTACAAGGTATCACTGAATTCAATGTCTTTGGTATCAAAGACATTTCCTATGACAACATTAGTAAGAAAAAATTCTCCTGTGTTTTACTCTAACTGTATTTATGTTTTCATATTTTGCACTTGTATCTTTAACCTATCTAGACTTTCTTCTCCACGATGTAAGTAGAGATCTAACCATATTTTTTCCCAAATGGTTAGTTAATATTTCCACACCATTTTTTAAATAATTTCTCTTACCTCTCATTTTTAAAAATTTATTTATTTATTCATTTATTTAATTTTTGGCTGCATTGGGTCTTCGCTGCTGCACGCAGGCTTTCTCTAGTTGCAGTGAGCAGGGGCTACTCTTTGTTGTGGGGCGCAGGCTTCTCATTGTGGTGGCTTCTCCTGTTGCAGAGCACAGGCTCTAGGCGTGCGGGCTTCAGTAATTGTGGCACGTGGGCTTCAGTAGTTGTGGCTCATGGGCTCTAGAGCGCAGGCTCCGTAGTTGTGACGCACAGGCTTAGTTGCTCCGCGGCATGTGGGATCTTCCCGGACCAGGGCTCGAACCTGTGTCCCCTGCATTGGCAGGTGGATTCTTAACCACTGCGCCACCAGGGAAGCCCTCCACACCATTTTTGAGCAACCTACATTTTCTCCACTAAGTTCTTGGGTGTATTGTAGTCTAGGTCCAGATTTTATCTTCTGTTTTATTCATCTGTATTAGCATGGTCTGTATTAGTGAGATTCTGAGAATATTGTTCAGGTTTTGCTGCAATAGTGCTGTGTAACAAACACTCCCCCAAATCTCTATGGCTTACAACAAACATTTATTCCTCTCTCATGGGTATCTGGGCCAACTGTGACATTGCAGGGTTCTGCTGGACACAAATGGACTTTGCTTGGCTCCAGGTCAGGTTTATGACATTCACGTGCCACTTTTTTTGAGCTGAAGTAACAACAGCTCGCTAGAACATTTTCTTCTCATGATTAAGTGGCAGGAGTTCAAGAAGGCTGGTGAAAACTTAGCCACACTTCTTAAATCTCAACTCAGCACATTCTCTTTTCCATCCACATTCCATTGGTCTGAGAAAAATCACCTGGCCAAGCTCTAAGTGAGTAGAAAAGGAAAGTATATTGCCTTCACAGCTCAAGGACTTGGGGGAAATTGATGACTTGTAAACAAATGATACTATCTACCAGATTGGGCTAGTTATGTTTTTTAAGTCTCTGGTTCCTCACTGTTAAAATGTGGTTAATGTGAAGATTCAATGATATAGATGATAAATGTCAAACACATTGCACCTGGCAATCGCTAATTCAAAAAATGTATATCTGCTTCTTCACAGTATACTTACTCTGCAAGATACTTTAATATGTGGAAAAGCATAATAGCTCCTATCTCATCACTCTTTCTTTTACAGGATTTTTTTGACTATTCTCTACCATTTTTTTCCAAATGAATAAACAGACTTTTGATTCCATCACATATATTCATCTCATTAATAACTGAGGAAAATATCTTCTCAATCATACTACTTTTAGAATGATGAGCAAGTTGTTTCAAGGCCTTACCAAGAGAGGGCTGAGGGGTTATTCTTGGGACCCATAATAATCAACATATTTTCTGTTTATTCTAAAAAGTCAAAACTATACTGCACAAATTTTCAAATGATATTAAATTAATTGTGGTGGTTAGTATCCTGAAAAAATAAAATTGAATTTAGGATAATAATCGTATAACAAATGATGCTCAGAAGAAGTAAATGGCCATAAATGTTCAGTGCAGTATATGATTTACAACAGTGTCTAGGCAAAAAGGACAGAAGAAAAAACTTTAATGTTAATCGACAAAGTACAAATAGTCAACAATGTGGGATAAAGCAAACGTAATTTTTATGATTTCCTAAATAATCTTAAATAGGCAAGGGACAGTTTCTCCTATTGTCAAGTATTAGTTATACTTTTGTTTGAAAATTACTTCCTGTTTTAGATCACATTTTTTTTGTGTGTGTGTGGTACGCGGGCCTCTCACTGTTGTGGCCTCTCCCGTTGCGGAGCACAGGCTCGGGACGCGCAGGCTCAGCGGCCATGGCTCACGGACCCAGCCGCTTCGCGGCATGTGGGATCTTCCGAGACCGGGGCACGAACCTGTGTCCCCTGCATTGGCAGGCCGACTCTCAACCACTGCACCACCAGGGAAGCCCTCGATCACACTTTTAAAGGATGTGGGGAAATTTATGAGAGTCGAAAGAATAACAACAAAAAAAATAGCTGAAGATCTAATTCAGGTCCTTCAGGAAAGCTAAGGAATTGCCATTAGTCAGTCTTAAAAGGCTAAGGTGTGACTTGCTTGGTATTCAACTGTAAGATTTATTTTCAGAGAAAAGATGCTGAGCAGGGGTTCTTCATGTCTAAATAAGAAAAAGATGTTCATTAAAACAGACAGTTTTATGTGACTTTTATAAGGAAGTATTGTTTATTAGGTCAAGGAAACACTACAGATAAATACCAAGAAAGATTTAAAATTTTCTATTTCTGGAAAGACAAGTATTCTATTTTATAAGTAAGAGAATAAGCAATTATCAATCTGGTTAAAACTGTCATTTGAAGATCAGTGACAAACCAAATGAACTCTTCTGACAGTGTGAGCCTATGAATTTATCTCAAGTTGCCTAACACTTCTTTTTGTTTTAAAGAGAAAGATTTTTTTTTTAAAGCAAGACGTCATTTGAGAGGTTGTTGTTTTCAGTTTTTTTTTTTGGCCACACCACATGGCATGTGGGATCTTAGTTCCCCGTCTAGGAATCGAACCTGAACCCCCTGCACTGGAAGCGCGGAGTCTCAACCACTGGGCCACCAGGTAAGTCCCAAGTTGCCTAACACTTTAATCTGTATTATTGATTAATGAATTAACACAAATATTTATTATATGGTTTCATCATAGCAATAAACTGACACATTTATGTACATTTTGAACATAAAACAAAATAGCACAGTTGTCTAATTTACTCTTATTTCCTCTTAATAAATAGCAATGAATATATTAGAAATACATCAGTTATGCTATGTGGATCATTTTGGGCTATTATACACAAGCATCCAATAAAATGCTGCTAAAACTATACCCATTCGTTCTTGATTATAACATAGAAATACAGGGTTTTAAATGTACTTTTAAGCATCACTTTGAGGCTTAGAGCCATATATTCAAAGTTGTCCTCCAAAGACCCAAGTTTTGAAAATAAAATGCCCTCTTAAATGTTATTTGCTAGTCCTGAAATACTGAAGTTTGAAAGGGGGCATCTTCAAAGCATTTAAAAAGGGGTATGTAATATAAAACCGAAGAAATTCCCAGTAAAAAGGCGATTGGGAGGAGATGAAACATCCTTTGCTTTTAGTCTTACGAGGCACTGACTGTTTCTTGTGTGTGTGTGTGTGATATATATATGAGTTGAGAATTTTTAAGGAAGAATAAATGTCATTTTTCAAAAATATAACACAAACCTGTCAATTAATTTAGATCCAATCATAAGAAATGTGTTTTGGTAGAAAGCAAGAATGAAGTAAAGTTGTTTTGTTTTCATTTAATCATATGCCAATGATTCTGAGAAAAGTGTATATGTACGTGGAAAGCATACTAGTTTATTCCCAGGTCTCAGCTCAGTGGTGCAACCTTTGTGTAGGAAAGCAGTGTATTTGCATATTATAAATGGGTCAGTTAATCTTGCTCAATTTTTAAAAAATATTCTTTCCAAACTACTGATATTATTTGCCATGATTTTATTCTGGCCCAAGTGAAGGCCTGCTTTCATGTTTTACCACTTTACTCATCTCTGTCTGATTAAACAAGCTTGAAAGCCTTCCAGTGGGTTCCATGTTTTTTTCACTGCATTTTTCCAACTATTGATAACTTCATATTTGCATAACTAATAGGCTGTCAAAGTGTGTTGATGTCTGTGTTAGTTTTGAATATCCCTTAAAGTTTTCTCTGCATTCGATATAGACAGATCAACCCATTTGGAGGACAGTATGTTCAAAAGTGATAGCCTTTCTCTCTTGGTCATAGAATTGACAATGCATATGTATATGCATAAGTTGGAAATAATGTAGGATGCCTACTTCAATTTTAAAAATCAATTTAGTTTTATATTATTTTCTATTTTATTCAAACATTCATTCCTTTTTTGTAAGACAAAGGGAAAATTGCGTCATAGGACTCCACTGTCAGAACTGACTGTGATCTTAAGGGTGAAGATAATGTTTATTCTGCCTTGTAACTTACTGTCCCGCCACTAGCCTGTACCTGAGGTATGGCAGCACTCAATACATATTTGTTGCTTGGATGAACTAACGATGTAATATAATAGTCAAAACTGGCCCTTTGGTTCTTTGACCGTCTACACAACTTTGTTGTTTTTAAAGCTAGCATTTAAAAGTGTTTAGCTGGCATTTTCATTCATTATGGTCAACAATTGGCAGTGTTTATCAAAATTTAATACACATGCATTTGATCCAGCATTTCCAGTTCTGTGAATCTATCTTATAAAATACTCAAGCATACCCACAAAGATAGGTATACAAGGCTACTCACTGAATCATTGTTTTCAATAGAAAATACTTGAAAGAAACTGAAAGTTCATCATTGGCAGGGTTAAATAAATTGGGGTACATCTTTACTTTGGAAAACTATGCAGCAGTTTTAAAAGAAGGAGGTACATCTATATATAAGTACATGGAAAAATCTACAAGATGTATTGTTGAGAGTTAAAAAACCAAACAAGTAAAACTCTCCAAACAATTTATGTGATGCAAATACATAAGAATATGTTCTGAAATGATAGACACCACACTTTTAATCTTATTTCCCTCTGGGATAGGGAGGTATAGTGATAATAAAATGGTAAGTTTTAAAGGTGCTGAGAAGTGCTTTCACTTTTTACTCTAATGTATTGGTATATTGTTTTAAATTTTAACAATGAGCATGCACTTGTATATTCAATAATTAAATAAAACCTGTGATTTTTTAAACAATACTCTTTTATACAAAGAAACTTTTCCTTCTTAAACAATGGTTAAAGTATGATGTATTTATAATTATTCTCTACAGCTCTGTCTTTTCTGCCATTCCTCTCTTCACACATCCCACCCATTACAAGGCTACAAACAGTAAACAAAGAACAATCTCTTAAAAATAAAAAAGGGAAATAAATCAAGATATGCCTAGAAAATGCCTTGTACAGATTATGTTCCCCTCTTTGTTTAGAGGCAAAGTAACAAATTTCTATTTAATCCAATGGATACTATTCATACATGTGGTGTTGAGACTACCGTGAACCTAGAGTGTTGGTCCTTCCTGGTAAACTTCTAGGGAGATGCAGCTGGTCATTTCTACCAAGACTTAAAGATAGAATAGTTCTTTGAATGAGTAGATACATCCCATGTTAGGATTTTATCTGATTGTCTTATATTGATTAATATCTGAGTAGATTAATATTTTTCTTTAAGTCTATCTTACTTTGCTTTAATCCCACTAGGTATTAATATTTATTAATGTATATTCCATTGTGATATATTATTTCCTATTTATTTGCCTCACACATGGTATTTATTGCTGAGACTAAGTCTTGTCCATGCCTTTGTAATTCAAATACAAAAGCATTACTTATCTCTTGTCATTTCTTATTCTCTACTTTTACATATACTTGTATACAATCTAATGTTTTGTTATAAAATTATTTTCCTATTTCTATATTATCATATGAGAAATATTTTAAATAATGAATAAGGAAGAGAAATTCTCACATATGAGAAATTGCCTTAGAAAGAAGGTAAACTTTTTAAACGTTATAAATGCTTAAACTTATGCTTGCTCTATGTAAACTCTCACTTAGATTTCAGCTACAGGCTTTGATCTCCACTTTTTAAAACTTCTAATATCTAAACCAAGTCATTCATTATTTTTGCTGAAGCCTAACTTAATCTGAACAGATTTCTGTCTTGAAAAGATGAAAATTTTTTCATGATTGAGGCCTGAGGTTGTCTCATTCAATGATCTTTTGAGCTGACTTCTAACATTATTAAGAAGCAAATTTAGGCATCACCTGTCCCCTTAGCTTCTACAGAATCTGATCTAGTCAGTAGAAGAACCACTAGCCAAATAATCATTTCATAAAACTTATCACTGTTTTTCAAATTAAAAGGCATTAAGGTAGTAAGATGATACAAAATCTAATGATGGCTACCCTCTTCTGCTCTAACTATTCAAATTAAGAAATAGCCACCCACTTTATCAAGAAGATAAGAATTTTAACTAAATAAGTAGAAAATAAGCTACTTTCATACATTTTTCTATTAAAACACTCCAAGGAAGAAAGAGGCAGGTAAAAACCCTTAAAGCAGGAAAATGCAGCAAGAAATAGTGTGGCTTTTTGCTTGTTTTTCATCATTCATATTATTTTCTTTTTTTTTTGCGGTATGTGGGTCTCTCACTGCTGTAGCCTCTCCCGTTGCGGAGCACAGGCTCCGGACGCGCAGGCTCCGAACGCGCAGGCTCAGCGGCCATGGCTCACGGGCCCAGCCACTCCGCGGCATGTGGGATCTTCCCGGACCGGGATACAAAGCATCAGCAGGCGGACTCTCAACCACGGCGCCACCAGGGAAGCCCCTTATTTTCTTTATTCTTTAAATCTACTTCTCTCTCCTCTCCTCCTAAAAGAGTTGTATGTCGGGACTTCTCTGTCTGGTGTTCCCACTTGCCGTGAGGCACGGCCAAAAAAAAAACCAGTTGTCTACAATCAGTGGAAAACTGAAGACGTTGTTGTAGACCAGGTAATAAGAGATATGTTAGTGATTTCTAAAAATATGGAAAATCCTACTGAGGTCTTTACAGTCCTTCAGGACATTGGCCTCTCTTACATTCTATTTTCTTACCTCCCTCCACCTCCATTTTTAATCATTACTGACCAAGGCCAGCAGAATAAGTGATACTGTGGGAACTATAACTTTCATTTAAAGGTAGTTCAGATTTTGAAACAGTTGATGGTGTAACAGGAGAGACAAGATAAGCCCAAAATGAATTTACTTAAAATAGGCTAGTATGGATTATTTATTCTATTATTTATTTATTTTTATAGGTTTGCTTCTTATATAGCTATTTATATACATCCATTACAAATACTATTACATATGAACACATGCACATGAAAGGAGGAAGTGGTCAATTGTTATGCATTAATCAGAAATGGGTTTTAAGAGAAGGGAACTCCACATATCTCAACGTACGGTTGGCTGATAATTTCATGCTTATGGAAAGTTCTAAGGTTATAATGGACCAAAGGACTACCTGAACTTTTTACTTCTAGAAATTGCAGTGTTGTCACAGGAATGATTGTTCCTTATGGAACAACTAAAAAATATATATTGAATGTATAGAAAATTATTATTATATACAATTATTATTATTGGCCTGTTCACCTTAAAATGAAAAATCTCCCTTCTTTGAGCTTTTTTTCAAAGTTTTGTTTCTAATGAACTGGAAATAACTTCACATATAAAGAAGAAAATTTTCTTTCTGTTTTCCATTTCTGTACACAGAACAACAAACATGCACAACAGACATAGACAACAGACAAACACAGTTTGATAACTGAATTATACTTTAGGACTGTTTTTCACACAAATCTAAATAATACACATTGAAAGAAATGTCTGTTGTCAGCTGGAATGGAAATTTTAAATTGTTTTACTAAAAATATAACCAGTCCTCATGTAACCTTCACTCAAAAGAGCCAAGAGCAAGATAAATGCATCCCATGTATTGAAACCACCATTCATCTTTCTAACATTGATGATTTTAGTAATTTTATACTTTAAAAAAAAGTAACAGACTGAAAGGATTATATTTCCCTGTACCTGTATGAAGAAATTAATGAGACTATAAAAATAATTTTATTTATTAGCTAGCATATGTTTCTATAGGAATTGAGCTCCAACAAATCTGGTCTTAATGATCTTTTTTCCTTGTCCTTGTTGGGGTGAGTTGGGAAACCCTTCTGATATTTTTTGTACTGATGATACTTCTGTAGTACTTCAAAGTCCAAATAATCTTGAAGATCCCATCTAGCATAACTTTGGTTAAGGATATATTATCTACCTGTAACTGAAAGGCAAAAATAAATTTTTGTTCAAGAATAAGGTGGGAAAAGTATGCTGAGTTACATCTCAAACTTGGTCCATTTCTCTATAGGGTACACTGACTGAACAATTAAACAACTTTTTTCTCCCCAATTTTCTTGGTTAAGTGAACTTCTCACAGTAAAACAAGCCACCTAAATGGTTTTCTTTTGAGATATGAAGTCCTGCAGAGGCATTGGATTATTTTTTTTAAACATCTTTATTGGAGTATAATTGCTTCACAATGTTGTGTTAGTTTCTGCTTTATAACAAAGTGAATCAGCTATACGTATACATATATCCCCATATCCTCTCCCTCTTGCATCTCCCTCCCACCCTCCCTATCCCACCCCTCTAGGTGGTCACAGAGCACCGAGCTGATCTCCCTGTGCTATGCGGTTGCTTCCCACTAGCTACCTATTTTACATTTGGTAGTGTATGTATGTCCATGCCACTCTCTCACTTCATCCCAGCTTACCCTTCCCCCTCCCTGTGTCCTCAAGGCCATTCTCTAGGAGGCATTGGATTATTTTACCCAACACTTTTTGCCGTGACCAACACACGGTTACTTTCTGAACTAGACTGTTACACGCCTTTCATGGTCTAATTTTATAGGTTCTGAGGAATGGGACTTCCACTACTTTCCTGGGAAGACAGTTCTCCAGTGCAGTCCCTCTAATTATTTAAGGTAGGTCTTCATTTCTTTAAAAGAGCCGAGTTATTCAAGTTGGAAAAGCAGCTACTACGTAAGCAGCCTGACTTAAACTGACAAAAGCAAGGAAATTCTGGATCCATAATTCACCTTCCACCCCTTGACCTCGCAAGCCGCCATATTAGCGTGATCACACCAAAATACCAGCTTGTGTTTACAGTTTCATTCCTCCTGATGGCGGACGGGCGCGTGTACACGAGAACTCGCTCTGTGTGCACTGAATAGGATCACGATCCGGAGAGCTGAAAATGTAAACACAAGCTGGTATTATGGTGTGACTGGCGGTTTGTGGTTCTTTGTTTGAATACTTTAAAAATGGGCACCCTGGCAAGAACAAAAGAGGCAGAAAGCAGAACTGCTCTGAAATGGCTTCTCTCATCTTTGTCACTCCTCAGGTACACCCAAAATAACTTATCCACTTGACGGGGTCTCCAGCAACCATTTGTTTTTGCCTAGTTGGCTACACTTCAACGCAACAGTTCTGTTTTCAAAGCCAGGCCCTTCATTCTTTGCCTTTCGTAATTTTAAATTAGCTTCTGAGTATTTGCAAGCACTATACTTCTGTAGTCATTATTTGCATCAAAATCTTCCACGTGGCAATTTCATGGCAAGGTTTGATGGGTTTAAGCAAGAACCTAAATGTCTTCTGTGGCCTTGTTTTCATATGTGCAAATCAGCAGTGGTTCTTTTACCTCAAATGAGGATTGGCATCAACATAACCCTATCAGACAACATATCTACCTACTGTTCTTGCTTATGCTACTTTAGTCATTGATTTTGAAGTGCAGAAGTTGACCTTAAGAGAAATGTAAAGGGTAGAAAAAAACCCAAAATTATAAACTTTATTTTAGCATAACATCTACTTGCATTGGTGGACCTTTAGTTTTCTCTGCAGTCTTTGTCATTTCTCCATTTTTACACTAAATATGTTCAATCATTGGCTCTCTGCTGTGCACTTGGATTCTGAAATAGATTTACTTGTGGGATGAAGAGATGGTCGTATCATTTCAGAGAGAAAATTAAGACATATAAAGAAGGAAGGCTGAAAAAAACTCATTTCCTGAAAAATGTCAAGGTAGCTCATGATATGCTTGGTAAAGTACACTACCTTGTTTTTTAAAAAACAAAACTTTCTCTTTGGAATTAGGTATACCATCACTACCAAAAATCGGTAAGCAAAGGAACAGTGGATAGTGTGGCAGGTCCCTTTTCTTAAATAAAAATTACAGAATCTGATTTTACACCTATCGATGCAGCATTCGCCACTGTAAACTTATTTCTGACAACTGTTTCTTTTGGAATCTAATAAGTAATTGAAAAACAAAAGTGATTTTCTCAATATAATCGAAAGGCAGTTAATGCAAAGACGTAAACACAAACGACTCATGGTTGTAGACAGTTTTGATGCAGACTGCAATACTTAATAAAAGAATAAGAGGGATCCTAGCTTGGGATTTTTAATGAAATGCCACTCAAATGGAAGCAAGTGATTTCAGAAGTGTTGTCAGTCACTTTAGACTGAAAAGAAATAATAAGAAATAGCTTTTAAGATATCAAATAATTTGCACTCAAATACTGTACTATAGCACCTTGCCTTTGAATAAGCCAACAATTTGCCTTGTTTGTTTAAAACTTATTGTATTTGATCACTTCACGAAACTGCACAACTTGACTGACCTTTGCCATCTTGTCTCTTTCTTATCTCTCTCCATGTGAGAATGCTCACCAAGAGCGCTTGCAAGCATTCCACAAATTATAACAAATGAACCATATACACCAATACTGACAGATCTGGATCATCTTATTTTCACCTGATATATGTTCAGGCTCAATTGAAAACTAAATTATGGAATGAATAGATATACTGGAAGAGTGAGTTTGGCCTTATCTTACACATATGTTTTGAGAACAGCTGTATGAAGCTATTTTGGAGGTTCAATATCTATGGTAATATGTTCAGATATACAAATAATTAATGTACAAAGCATTGACATTTTCACAGATTTTATCCCCAATATCATATAATTTCATATCTTGTGAGCTGTATTTCATATTCTGGAGGGAAAAGTCTGTGCTACAGGATTTCATAGCTTTAAACTTGAGCTTTTAGTTTTATAGTTTTTTTTTTAATTCTTTTTTTCAAATATACGATTGTAATTTTACAGAAAGTTCAAAACGTCTTTGAGCCTGTAAACATTCTTATGACTCCTCATAATTTGTGTTGGCCCATCTACTTGCTAATGCGATCGCTTTCCTTAGCTACCTCATGCTACTAGTATCTGTTGATAGTAAATACAAACAAACGCAGCCTTTAGGTTAGAAGGCCTTTGGCAAATTTATCTTGTGGAAGCCAGCTAAGGAAGGGAAAATGGGGGTCAGAAAAGCTGCAGCAATGGTCCAATTCTGTATCTGTAGCAATAAGGGTTAAAAAAAAAACAGGATGGAGGGTTGAAGATGGATGGTGGTCATGACTGTTCAACAACGTGAATGTACTTAATGCTACTGAACTCTACACTTAAAAATGGCTAAAATGGTGAATTTTATATTGTGTATTTTACCACAATAAAAAAGTAGAGGTTAAAATTGACTCTAATGAGAAATTAGGAACTGACTCTAAGAACCTACTTGCCCAATAAAAAAGCAATTTTACTGCGGAAAAGACATATGAAAGCAGGAAAACCAAACTTTTAGTTCCCATTCATTGTAGCAAACACTTAAGAATTCTTTGCCATTGGAGTTTATTCAAACACAAATTATCATGTAAAATAGCCAAAAGTTGATATTAAAGTAAGACAAAGTTTATCAAATATTCTTTAGTCCCTATTCTATATTTTTTACGACTGGCCGTCTTTTTTTTCCAGGTTATTTTATTTTATTTATTTATTTTTTGTGTGCGGTACGCGGGCCTCTCACTGTTGTGGCCTCTCCCGTTGTAGAGCACAGGCTCCGGACCCGCAGGCTCAGCGGCCATGGCTCACGGGCCCAGCCGCTGCGCAGCATGTGGGATCTTCCTGGACCGGGGCATGAACCCGTGTCCCCTGCATCAGCAGGCGGGCTCTCAACCACTGCGCCACCAGCGAAGCCCTCCAGGTTATTTTTTTAAAGCCCATGCACATAAGCATATAACTTATCTGTATGACTATTTATAAAAATGAAAAGGAATGAAGTTAAAAGAAGTGAAAAATAACACTGCCTTAAATACTAATGAATTTTAAGTAGTTGAAATATTTAAAAGTAAACTATAAGTCATACTGTAGGGCCTACTTTCCTAACTTTTAATAGATTTCTAAAAAAATTCAAACCTTGAAGTGCATGCAATTAGAAACATGCAACAGTGAGGCTAGGCTTAGTCACAGTACTATTTCAATGCAAACTGCTTCTATTTTTGGTGTCCTACAGAGAAATAGAATTAGAATGTTCTAACCTCTGCTCATTCTGTAGGTGAGAGTATAAAGCTGACTGCTTAGAAAATTGGGGTGGGGGGAGTCCTTTCTAACCAATTCTTTCTCATGTTTTATGTATTAGGTGATTGTTTTACTATGATGTGGACGATTAAGGACAAACGATTAATTTTGCATGCATAATCAACTCCAAACTCTCCTGGACAGATTGCCATGAATATGGCCTATCTATGAACATCAGAACATGGTTGATTCTTCGTATTTGTACTATCCTGCTGTTTTTTTGCCCTGCTGTATGGTTTTTAAGGCTAAAACAGAGCAGTGTTACATAAATGTATAGAATCTTAGGGTTGGATGAATTTCAAATTCATCCAGTTCAAGGACCCATTTGATACCTTAATCTCTTCAAGTGCTTACACAGCCTTAGCATTAATAATTCTAGTGATGGTAATGCTTACTTCCACTGGAGCATATATAATTGAGAGCAGGAAAACTAAGAAGTCAGGAATAAATTACAATTTCTTCATCTGTAGAAGATATATACAATTGAGGATTAAATGAAATAACCTATATGATCAGGCCTAGCACAGTGCTAGAAATATAATACATACTAAAAAATAGTTATATTTAAATTTATTTATATCACACTCACTACTCTTTATGTTTCAAGTGTCTAGTGCTTGGTAATGTCACATAATTTGGGGGGTGGTGGTACCTGGTTGTCTGTTATTATGTTAGGGTCACTGAAGTGTCATTAGACTAATATTATGTTTTTGGTTTTTTTTTTGTTTGTTTTTGCGGTATGTGGGTCTCCCACCGCTGTGGCCTCTCCCGCCGCGGAGCACAAGCTCCGGACGCGCAGGCTCAGCGAAAATGGCCCACGGGCCCAGCCGCTCCGCGGCATGTGGGATCCTCCCAAACCGGGGCACGAACCCGCATCCCCTGCATCGGCAGGCGGACTCTCAACCACTGTGCCACCAGGGAAGCCCTAGACTAATATTATGATATAGAACCAGGTCACAATTTTTTTAACATGAGAAAACTAAAGATACTTCTACTATACACTGGATTCTTGTTGTGTTAGGGTAATGGCTGTGTCATGTTATATTTACATAAATATTTACCTGTTCACTTAATTTACCTTACCACTCACTCACTAATGCTAAAATTTCATCATGAGATTTAAAGTTCACCAGAAATTTTATAATAGCCTCAATAATGCTTGTCTTCACAAATACAAGGTTGTTTTTTTTGCTTCATTCACGTCTTGACTGACTAGATATTGAGGAGTACAAAAACCTACTAACTTCTACATCTAAAATATCTCAGATGTCTGTTTCTTAATTTTATATTCAGATATTTTAAAAACCCACAAAACTGCCCTCTGGTAAAATTGCATTCAACTACCTATTATCGTCTTTGAGCTATGTTTTTATTATTTTTTTTTAAATTTATTTATTTTATTTATTTATTTTTTGGCTGTGTTGGGTCTTCATTGCTGCGCACGGGCTTTCTCTAGTGGTGGTGAGTGGGGGCTACTCTTCGTTGCAGTGCGCGGGCTTCTCATTGCGGTGGCTTCTTTTGTTGCCCAGCACAGGCTCCAGGCGTGCAGGCCTCAGTAGCTATGGCTCGCACGCAGGCTCTAGAGCGCAGGCTCAGTAGTTGTGGCGGCACATGGGCTTAGTTGCTCTGCGGTATGTGGGATCTTCCCGGACCAGGGCCCAAACCCGTGTCCCCTGCATTGGCAGGTGGATTCCTAACCACTGTGTCACCCCCCTGCTATGTTTTTAAATGTTCCTAAAATTTTCTAGTTCTATGATTATGATTATTATTATTAAAGCAATCTAAGTATAAGCAGTTTGTTGACGATAAATTAATTTAAATTATGAATATGTAACCTAAAATTTCTTAAGTAATTAGCAGCTCTGGTTTACCTGAAAGATGCAGTTATCAGGAGCATGTAGTTTAATATCAGCACATCTCTAATATCGATGTTATTTAAAGCCATACATTAAGAGTCATAAGCATCTGTAGTGACAGAAGAAGCATGCAACAAAGTACTGAAAAACTGGAATAGAATTAATTGGTTTTGGTCTACCCACTTCAAATTAGAAAATAGCAACAGAAAAAAAAATTAAACACTAAATGTATTCGTTAGGCAGGATCAGCAATCATGCTGCCCACACATGATCTGCAATTAATTTGTAAATAAGAAGATTCATCACCTGGAGGATAATAAACTCTAGTTTTATGGCCCAAAACACTAGAGTAAAAACCACTAATGAATGTATTATATAAACACAGGGGCAAGAATGTACATTGGTTGAGCAAGTGAGGATAACAAGGACACTTTGTTTTGTTATTAAAGTAGGACCAAAAGATACATGACACATACCTGGAGATTTTTCTGAAGTGTTAACACTGCTCAAAACAGGGTCACTTAAGAGACATGGAAAAATGTTACTACAAGGTAAGAAGGGAAAGAGTTGATTTTTAGAAAGAGCATTTTTTAAAAAAATAAGAGATCATTACATTAATATTAATTAATTACGTTAATTTTACGTTACGTTAATATTAATTAATTACGTTAATTAATTAATTACGTTAATATTAATTAATTTTTCATAACTGCATATTAGAAAGTCTTACTAATAAATAATAATCTGAAGTGATTTTAGTTTAGATCTTAGTTTAGATTTTAGCTTAGATTTAGTTTAGATCTTCAAATGTGACTTGGACTATGAAGAGATGTCTTCAAACACTATTTATTGAGAAAATAAGTATTAAATGGAAATTCCAGTATTGCCCTATTTTGGAAGAGGCTTTGATGTGAAAACTAATTTCCTTCCTGTAAGTTACAATTGTATAACACACCTTAATTTTGAATGCAAAATAAAACACTCAAGATTACATCCATTCAAATGAGAATTTCTTCTTTAGTGCCAGCTGAGAACTCTGAAAAACACAGAGCGGTAAAAGAATCAGTTGGGATGTTTATTTAAAATACAGAGTCCTGGTCTCCACCTCATACCAACTGAAATACAATCTCTGGAAGTGGGGACTTGGAATCTGTGTACAATCGTAGCAAAATCTCTAGTTGATTCTGATGCATACTAAAGTTTAAGAATGACTTTAATGTTAGTAAATATTTATTATCATCAAATATTTCCTTTTCATAAACAAGATTATTTTTTCAATAGGCATATGAAAATACTTTTCCAAATAGTAAAAACTAGACCTGAAATTACTTTTATGAAATAAGATCTCAGACCTGGAGTCACCTTAATGGGATCAATAAAATTATTAGTGCTAAAATTAAAAGGAGAAAGAAGTCAAGGGAAGTGTTATTATAGTAAATAGCATTCAAATTTTTGAATGCTCTACAACTCAACTATTAGTTATAAATATAATCAATATATTAAGATATATCACTTATTAAGCTGCTTCAACTATCAAAACATCTCAGTACTCAAAACAGATGTCATAGACTATTCAAAATAGATGCCGTAAAACATACTAAGGTCTATGTAACTCATCAATAGCATTTATATTTGACCCAATTCTAATAATTTTATCTATCTGGTTTATTTGATCATAAAACATTAGCTATATTTCAAAACAAAGTTTGAGGAAAGGAGACACTTGCTGCTAGCAATTACTTTTAAGAAGTAGTATCTGGAATAAAGAAGACTAAAAGGCTTATTAAAAATTAAGCCCCCCAAATACCAGACTATACAAAAATACTGAGAAAAATGATCTCAAAAAGTATAGTTATCTGAGACCATTTAATATAGGGTTAAAACTAGAATAATCTGTATATGCTTGTGTAGTACTGTAACTGATGTTTATGATGATCACTGTCAATCATCAGGAAACAGCTTTATATGTTCTAGTTTAAGAAAGGAGAGAAATGTATAGCCCATTTTAGAAAGATTTTAATCTGGGTTGTTTAAAATTAACAATTCTTTAAATCTTAGATAAATTTCACCTAACATGAAAATTCACTAGTGGGATTTACCTCAAAGGAAGACAAGGTTTTTTCCAAATAGTTAAACTTAAAGAATAGAGATTGTTACTTAGACATAGGCGCCATCTAGTGGCAAAAGACGGTAGTTTCAGGGTAATTGTTTTGTCATTGGATTAGGACAATATGGAACTGGCTACATATACAGGTTTTGTTAAAGGTTTAAAAAATGTCTTAAATTGTGGAGATTAAACTGAAAATTATTTATTTAATTTTAAAAGAATTCAGACTGATGAAATCACAGAGTCAGGAAGAGGTTGAAGATGATGAAAGTCGTGTCAACATAAACAGTAAAGATATAGGAATATAAAATGGAAACTCAACACAAATAGAGTTTAAGAAAAAACTTTATTGAATATTGATTATAGATATATTATTTATTATATATATACATTTTATGAAGAATGGTCTTCTTACATTCCGAGCTCTTTTTAAAAATTATTAATATGGAGTGGAATTCTCTTTTCTCTGATGAAAGTGGTTACAAGCAGCATCATTATACATTCCAAAATTAGCCCATTGTGAGGAAAACTGGATTTTCTGATTAATTATAATTAACCAACAAATATTTATTAAATAGGTATTCTACATAACTAAACACGATCTGGGGAATTAATGAGATTGAAAAAATATATAGCCTCTGTTTATAATCTAACAAAATACAGCTGAAATGACAAGAGATTAATTACAACAGCAAATATTTAGTAGGGAAATTAATTTTTAAAAGGCATTTAAAACCTATAACCACTGTTCAATCAAAGTTCAAGAAAGGGCATACCTGCTTATTCTGGTGCTTTGTGCCAGCCCAAGAGAGAACATCTCTATTAAAAGTTTATTGTGTGTGTTCATTACTTGGTCTGGCATATATTTCTATAATTTCTTCTACTGGTATGTTCAAACGTAAATACTATATTCTCTTCTATAAAGAATTAATAATGCCAATTAAGTGAAACCATATATAATATTTCCTGGCTATGGTAGATATACAGTTCCTTTAATTCTTTGACACTTTAATACAGATAGGCAAGGCTAGTTGATAGTAAAAACTGAACAAGTACTGAAAGGAAATGTTTTAGATGGGGTATGATTAGACAAGGAAAGATTTAAGAAGTTTTGAGTAAGATCTAGAACAGAGTGATAGGTAAAAAATGACAAAGAGGGAGCAAAAAGGCATATAAACTAGGAGCATAAAATTGAAAGTTAATATGATGTATTGATGTAGAGGTGCATGTAGATGTAGAGGTCAGTGGGGAAAGTAAAAAGAAATAAAACAAGAATGTCATTAGGGTCATGTAAGGAATTCTGTCTTAAAGACTTACTTTATATGATAGGCAGTAGGGGAAACTGTGCTGGATATTAGGGTTATAAAGACTGATAAGATTAGGTCTCTGTACTGAAAAAGCACATAAGAAACTAAACGTTTGCTGGGTATCCAAAATTATTTTGAATTTTATTCAGTTTATTCATAAACGTATACATTTGATGTTTTTATTTCTCGTGTTAATTTTTAGATTCTCATGCACTAATCACAGGGAAAGTGTGTGTAGTTCTTTCGGTTGAATATCCCAGGGTGTTCCCTAATGTCAGCGCATTTTTCCTGATCCTTATAACTTTCAAGGTGGTTGTCAGGATGCAGTTTGACCATGAACGTACTCCTTAGATGTCATTGTTTTTTGTTTTTTTTTGCGGTACGTGGGCCTCTCACTGTTGTGGCCTCTCCCGTTGCGGAGCACAGGCTCCGGACGCGCAGGCTCAGCAGCCATGGCTCACAGGCCCAGCCGCTCCGCGGCACGTGGGGTCTTCCC